AGCGCGACGGCTTGCGCCAAGCTTCTGTAAAGATGACTGTGGAGGTGATGAGCAACATCGAAGGACTTCTCGACGAGGACTGCCGCATGACGCTGGAGCAAATGTCTGCCCGCTTGCAAGCCGAATTGGGCGTTATTGTCAGCAAGACGTTCATTCATTGCGCCCTACAGGGCATGCTGTTCTCGACGAAGCGTTTACGCATTGAGAAGGAGACCACGAACTGATCCGCTAACAAGGAGAAGCGCAAGACCTTTGTCTTGGAGCTGAACAAGCACATCAAGAAAGGTAACATGATTGTATTTCAAGATGAAACTAATTATAATTTGTACCTGTCTCGGAATGAGGGTTGGGCTCGGATTGGGGAACGTGCCGTCGTCCAACTGCCGCTTTCCAAAGGCAAGAACCTCCATATCCAAGGAGGGGTGTCAAGTGGCTCTGGTTTGCTTCTGCTGCAAACCCACGAAGGGTCCGTGAAGAAGGCCGAGAATGCAAGATTCATGGCGGACCTCTTCATCGCTGCTCTTCGCTCCGAGGAATACGCGGAACTTCAACCGGCCAAGGTTGTGATTGTCACGGACAACGCACCGTCCCACAACGACGTCGAGAACCTTGCTCGAGAGTACCTGGCTGCCGACGGGATCATGAACCTGAACAAGCTCAAGATTCTGCGTCTGGGGCCCTACAGCCCGATGCTGAACCCCATTGAGGGGTGTTGGAACTCCTTGAAGGCCAAGATGCGGCGCTTCATGGCAGAACGAAAGCAGGAGTTTCTGGTGAGTGGGGAGTATGACTCCTTTACGGCGCACAGATTTGCGCTGATGAAAGAAGCGGTGGAAGCGTGCAAAAGTGTCATTACGCGCCGACTCATCTGGCGCTACGAGAGGCACTGCCTGAGCCACGTTTTCGCTGCGGAGAGGGGCTTTGACTTAGAGCTGGGCGCGTGACTTCGAGTTTGCATTTTGCTTGGAATGTGTACCCATCCGTTTTGCAAAAGTTGAAAAATCCGTTTTTGTGTTCACTTGAAGTATCCCTGTCTCTTATCCTTTGCACCTTGCTTGGTAACTTTGGCAATTTGGCCGGGAAATGGTGTACTGTACGAGCTCACAGGCCCCGTGGTAAAGCGCCACTGGCCAACTCGCTGCAACGGCGGACACTTCGACAGTAGGGCAAGTCAGACAAGCGTATCAAGGTACTATTGACCTACTTATCTAATAGAAAATGGTCTAAGCTAACGTGTTGCGCTCTGCTGCCGCTCTGTGGTCGTGTACAGTGCGGATTGACAGTGAGATCGCCGCATCTCTTCTTGCGCTGCCGGCAGCTACTGCAGGACGTCTCCCTGCTACGCTTCTGTGGCTTTATGCTTTGTGTGGGGTGCTTGCTGCCACCTTTAGAGCCACCTTCTTTTCCTTCAGTCGGCACCGAAGAGCGTTTGTGGATAAGGGCAGGTTGGGGTAATACGACTTGCACACTGCACAGATACGCTCCCATGTGGCGTTCGAATTTGGTATTGACTTAGCCAGCTCGCGGAACTTGTGGAAATGGTCGTGAGTCATTGTGGTCGGACGTTATTGCGAAGCACTCGGTCGTGTTGAGGCCGCTATCTGCAGGGCACGGCCGATTGTGTTGCTGCGTTGAGACTGCTGCTACTTCGTGCTTTGAAATGGAGATTGGAAGCTGGTAGATCGTGGCAAACCCGGCGCGAGACTGCTGTGCGTGGCTGGTGGATCTGTCACCGGTGGCGATGGTATCTCCAATGAGTTCAGGGGTACAGCGGAAGGACTTTGTGCTGATGTTCGGGTCGTCTCCGTACTATTATCAATGAACTTGTCTGTCTTGTTGGCAGTGTTGTCTGTGCTAAACACCATGCTGCGGCAGTTAGATATTGCGTAATATTTGCATTGGACTAGTGTGTAGTGGTGCGGAGCGTAGCCATTATTCCAGGCGACAATTTGAGTTTTATCTTTAATTTTGCTGCATTCGACTGCTGCTTCATGTTGTTCCATTTCGTAATCAACGCTGCTGGAGTCTTAGGGTGGATACCGGCACAGATGCAGGTTGCAAAGTCATACACCATCACGAATACTTGTCTCCTTTTGCGAATCCCGTTAAGCTGACGAAGCGCAGAGAACAACTGGGAGAGTAGCTCCAGCTCTCGTGGCGTTGTTTCGGCACATGGATTCGGACACGAAAATCTGAATAGTCTTAATGGGTTTAGTTCATTCGTCGCTGGTTGGGGTCTTCGTGGCCAAGCAGTTAATCTTTGCAGCTAGCGTGGCAAAGCTGATGCGTCTCAGTTTCAAGAGCTGATTGCCGTTGGACAAGACTGTCATGTTATATAACATCGTAGTAACAAGCGAGCATTCTGACCAGCTCCGTCCAGCCCGTTTCTGCTCCATATGCACCTGACGAAATAGTGCATACTCTTCCGAAGAAAAACCTGCAGCAGCTGTATAGTCGAGCTCAGCGAGGCACAGTGAGTTAAAGAAATCCGCTTTGGAGAGTTTGCCAGTTTCAGTGAAGACTATCTGCTTCATGAGAAGCTCCTTAATGCTGTCGTTGTGCTGTCGACTGCGCTGAAGATTCGCCTCCAGAGCGAGCGCGTCAACGCTTGCTGTCTGGAATATCTGACGCCAGTTCTCGAATGAATAATCAAGGACTGTAGAAGGTCAGTACGCTGGCTGAGGAAGAGGTGTTGAAACTAGCTGGGTGACGAACTCCAGCTGCGGTGACTCCGCAATAACTCCACGGCACAAAGTTGCCGTCTGTGCGAGCGTGAGAATGTCGGCATGGCGCATTGACGGATGTTGACCATAGTTAGATTCGACTTTCAGGCTATGCTGCAATTTAAAAATGTCGAGAATCCGTAAGCCAACATCGACCGGAACAGACCGAGCGAGCATCTTCTTATGGGCCGAGTGAACCCTTCAAGCTGACTAGTAGACACCACGCGAACGTCTTTGCCACCACCCTCTTTGAAGACGTTATCGTGAACGTATATACCTCCACGTTCGATCTGCTTCAGATTGCTGTTGACGCTACGTTGCCATTCCGATTCGCTGCAGCTGATATCGCATCTAGACACGGACTCGGCAGCACTTCGAAATCGACCCCACATCACCGATGGCTGGCGTAACGCCCCATCAACTGCAAAAATCGCGTCATGAAGCTGCTTAGATAGTATCTTTTTTGCTGTCCTGTCCTTAATTTCGTCAGTGAACCGTTGAATTACGTGGAATGGATCCTGTCGAACCCCGACCGCTTTTCCGAATACACTCGACACTACGTTGCGAATTGCGTTGGCATTATCACTGATAATGTATTGCGATCCTTCCTCTGAAAACGTGCTCTTCATGTGCTGTAGTAACTCCCGCGTTTCATCGTGATTTTCCGAGCGACTCAAGCGCCGCCAACGATCTGACCTATCTCATTTTGAGCGAGCAACAACATTTTTGCATCCGACATGCTCTCTCGTTTCCCCGTTCCCCCAGGCAAGACTTTTAGGCGTTTACAAAATTTTACTGAATGATCCACGCGTAATGCTTTTCGCACCTTTCATGAGCTCATCACCTGCTCACACAAAGCACTGTATATTGTTGTAGATTGCATCCATGCTGCAGACATCGTCTCGGCCCCAACTGGTTTCTGCCTCGCGCAATACTGACCAACTGAAGGCGGAGTGGGAGCTAAATAATTTTGGATTTGACAACTGAAGCCGGCAGACTCGATCGAGATATCCTCTAGACTCTAATTAACAATGTCACTTTTCATTTTACCCAAGAGCTACCAAGCTTCCTCCTAAAACGTTACAATGGATGACGTACATGTCGAATGCAACTACTTGCAATAACCTAACTTTTCCTAGGAGGAAATTTCAGGACCATACACTTCGGCTTCTTATCAATCGTTTTACAGTTTAACAACACTTCAATTTTCCCAGAAGCTTCACGCTGGTTGACAATCTAGCATACAAATTTCTAAATGCATGTTAGCGACCCACTATTAGCGATCTAATCGACATCTAAAGCGTCGCCATGCCCCCACGACGAGGGCCACCTCGGATCGCCAAGACGAAGAAGCAAAAACAGTTGATTGTTGCTCCTTCTGCAGGGAGTCGTTTATGCTACATCTTGGACTTGGGCTCTGCATCAGTGTGGGATTATCTTGATGCACAGAGCGCCTCCAACACACTTCGAGCCTGTCCTGGCGTATTTTCGCGGGATTCCATCGACTCGGTGTCGCTGAAGGCGGTGCAGAACTTCGCAGTGGAGTATAAGACGCACTTGGGTCGACATTGTGAGTGCGATTGGATGCGGCGTCTAGATTTCACCCACAATACTGAGGACAAGTGCAAAGGAATGGCACCGTTCACAGTTGACAAAACGTTACCCATTCTTCAGCTTCCAGGAGGACCAAAACGCTTTTTGGACGCACTTCTGCTAACCAAGAAACTGATGCAGCCGTTCGAAGCAGCGAGGAGAAGTCAAGATGCCACGTTTGAACCGATGGTGTGCCCTTTAGTAACTAAAGAGATTCGGAAATTGTCTTCCAAGGCTGCAGTTACTCGTGCGATGAATGGCATTAGTCCGGGGGCTGGTTCGAGGTTCTTTTATAAGTTTAAGTTGAGCCCGAAGCCGTATTTTGTCGATTTCTTAGAGGAACATTGGAGTGGAATAAAGGGCTCGTCTTGTGAGTATTGTGACAGTCTGGCAGACTCCGGCACGAGACAAGAACTCAAGAAGAACGCAGACTTGACAACCAATGAAACCAAATGCATTCGTGCGAACTGCTTAAAACTGTATCGACCTTTAAAAGGTGCGCTGGAAAGAAATCTCCGATTTGTACGTTTTGTTCGACGTCCTCGACGTCGTTCACGTCGAGATGTGAGTTTTATCGGCAAATACAAGGGACTTGTTGCCGGCCTAACGGAGGGAGGAGTTCTTTGTGGCCTCTTTCTAGTGAATGGATTCTGGCCCCACGAGTAACTCAAAAAAAAAGCAGCGCCATTTGTTTTAAGTATCCGTGAAGTACTGCAATAAGGTAGTACTTATATGAGTTTTGAGATTCATTGGCATTGTTTGTGTGCTCTCATGAAATTTCGATTCTTTAGAAATGATCTTCACATCTACTTAGCTCCCGCTGCCTTATTACTTACGAACACCTCCTCAATACGCTTGAGCACTACATCGTGTAGGTAGTCCAATGTGTCGTGGAACGAGTGAAGGTTGATGCGAATTTCAGTGAATGGAAGCATGTCCTTCTCCTGGTTGTGAGAAACCAAATAGTTCTGCACATCCTGCAAGTTGCGGAAGCCAACTTCGTTCTTGTCACCACGGTATCGTGGATCAGGAGAGTTCGTCATAAAGTTGTGGTGATCCTCTTCGTCCAGAGTTAGCAGGAAAGGTACTACAATTCCAGAGCAACTTGCGTTGCTGTCTTTTTCAGGCGCGCCAATGGTTTTCTGGTACAGGCGGGGATCGATGTGGAAACCTTCAATTATGAGTGACTTGCCGTCCTTCAGACACTTGTCGATGTCGGATTTAACCCCCTTGCGGACCACTTCACACTCCTTCTGATATTCAGCGATAAGATCGTCCGTCGACTGAAACTTCGTCATAATATAAGACGTTTTTTCTTGCCTGGAAGTATAATGGTGTGCGTTAGTAAACGCAGTGTCGGGTAAGTTCTTCATCTAATGATTGACGTACCCTGAGAAGTTGCACATGAGCTCGAAGATGAGATCAGTCTGCAGTACACTCGAAAGATTGAGTCGGTCGGCCAACTACAAACATTTTTATCAAAAAAAATGAAACTCCAAAAATTAGCACCTTCGCTTGTTTTCAAATAATAAAAAACGTACTTTTGTGGCAAGTGTAGATTTCCCGATGCAAGCTGTACCTGCCAGCATGATCAGCAGAGGAACACGGTTGCGATGGAAACTAGACACACAAAATTCATCAGTTCATAACTAAACTAAGCGCAAGCCATTCCCATTCTACCAACCTGGACATCATCCTGTAGCACGAGATCTGAGGTTCCCCATATCCGAATACAAGCATCGTCTTGTACAGGAAGTCCTCGAACTGCTCCTGTACAATGTCCGTGAAATTTAGATCCACCAGCGTCTTCAGCACAAAATCACAAATTTCATCAGTAACTTCTTCTCCCGTTAGACCTGTTAACCGAAGTCCTCACCCTCTTCAGATCCAGCGAAATCTGCACTGCGTCCCTCGAATTAATCTAGAACGCCAACCACATTATCCTCTTAAGTTACCACAGGCTGCTTAGCCATTAATAAGACCATTAAGTTACTAACCTTGGCGCTGACCAGCGCGCGACACAGCAGGTAGCGGGACAACACGTAGACGTGATCTTCGACCCACACGCGCACCTTGACGAAGTCGTACTTGGACTGATTGCGCTTAATCACAACCTCAGCCTGCTGAGGACCCAACGCCCTCACCAGCGGCGCAGGAGGTGGCGTCTCCTCCACACCCATGAGACCCGACGCCGCGGCATCATGCTCGTTGAGACTCATGCCGACACTTCAATGCCTAGAAACCCCATAACGAATAGCGCTTCGTTGTTTTGATTCGTTGAAAATATTTAGAAATGAAATGATTGGTGAATATTACGCATGCTTTGAAGAGCTCTGAAGGATTCTCTAGTGAATACCTTACTTACAGCAAGTCCATTTTCTATCTCACTTCGGTTCGGACGACGAAGCTCTGCGGTAAGCGGCAGCGAGTGCGCACTTGGTTTCGCTACACAGGTCTACCTTCTCAACACCATCCAGCTGTACACATCACCAGCAATCGTTAGCAAGCATAAGCAAGAAGGTAATAAAATCCGACAACAACCTTGTCGAAGAAAAGCAGTCCAGCCTGCTTTTCTATGATGTGTAGTGGCGCCTGAAAGTCGCGCAGATTCTTATTCTCCGGGATGGCTCTGTTTGGCAAGATAAACCCAGCCGTAGCAAAACCTTTTCCTCCTCGCTTTTCTCCTAGTACTACTTTGAAGAAATGCGTAGGAACAGAGATGGCATCCGGTGGGGTGCCTATCACAGGGTACGACACCTCGTACTCTCCGGTTTTCCTGTTTTTCTGGTCGTCCAAATAGCAGTGCATTAGCAAAAAAATCTCTTTAAACGTCAACATCAGAGAGTTTACCTACCTTAGGAAGAAATAGCGGTCCAGTAATGACATAGACAGCGTCGTATTGGCCAGCCAGATGCCGCACGAATCCCTCAAGACGTGACCAATAGCCTCGATTAAAGCCTACACCGACCTGCGGCGACATGTTGGTCATCAGAAAGCTCTCGTCCATAGCTCCCTGGGAGTGGCTCATATTACCTGAATTCAACAAATACAGAGACAACATGGATCTAAATCTCACTTGATGGAATAGAAGATAGAACCAAGCCAAGAACGTACGAGCTGGTGCGAGATGGCCCTTGTCATAACCGCTCTTAAGGTACCGATTCGGATGCACTCTGAACTGCTCCGGAACATCTTTATCGACGGTAAACTTGGAGTTCGCTCGATCCGTCTCTTGCTCAATACGCAGCGAATCTTTCGTCAAGTATTCCATCACCCACGACGCATTGCGTGTGCTGACACAGCAAAATAAACAATAAACCCGTTAGCTTACCCACCACTCACCTCGCTACTTTTTGTGCACTGACCGGTAGTCATAGGATACGACGTATCCCGAGCGCACATGAATATTCGAGTCCGAGGGCGTTCCGTAGCGTAGGGCTTCGTGTTTGGGCAGCGTTTTGGGCTCCAGCGGCTTGCGATCGGTCGGGATTGGAACGCGTCGACTTGGCTTCCCGATCTCTTCGTCAATCCCCAGCAGTATCAAGGTCCCTGCGACGCCAATGGAGATACCGAGTGACACACCTTCCAGCGTCCGCCTGGATGTCCACCGTTAGTCCACTCGTCAATACTGATACAACAGCAACGCTAGAGACGCAAACTTCACTGCAAATTGTCTTCCTTTGAGTGGGTATACTTACCGGATATTTGCGGGTAGCAGGTTGTAGAGCGAACGCGCCTGAGCGCGCTGGCGTCGGCCCTTCATGCTTCTCCGCCACAATTGAAATGCTTCCAGTGGATCCACTCACTAAACCTGAGTCTAATGAGATACGATACTTGATTGGCGGAAAATGCGGGAATATGTGTACATGTGATGTGGTGCAATAGTCGGTGGTCTCAAGCGGCACAGTCGATTAGCATCAGCACTGATCACTAGCATCAACACCGCAGGGAAGGTTTATAGAGCGAGCTAAGAGCCCAATCATGTCCAGGAAGAATAACCGTAACAAGATCAAGGCCCAGTATGAGCTGGAGGTGGAAAAAGAGCGATTGCGCAAGGAGAAACTCATGAAGAAGCGCGAGCGGGTATATCCCATGGTCTGCATCATATGAAGCCAGATCAGGGCTAACAGTGCGTTGTTGTCGACTACAGAAAGCTCAAAAGGAGAGCAAAACGGTGGTGAAGAAGGTCTCGAGTAAGGTGCTTCGACGGATGCGTATCCGTCAGATGGAGAAGGAGGCTCGTGGCGAGATGGACGTGGACAACGAGGACAAGAAGAAGAAGAGCAAGAAGGCTGACAAGGCCGAGAAGATGGACACGGAGGAATAGATGACCGGTTTCAAGAACTGTTTCCATTTTTTTATTAGCTTCAAAACTGATGCTGGAACTGAGCTACAGATTTTCGAGACAACCAGACATGAAGCTGTCGCGACGCTCGATGTCTTGTAGGGTTTCCTGAATGCAACAGCAGTTGTTAGAGCAGGTTGTGAGGAGCTTTGATGGAGGAGACCACGCACCTTGACGATGGACAAGAGCATGTCCTTCCACGCTTGATCAAGGGCCTGCATTGGTAGAACGCTAAGTAATGTGGTAATGACGGAAGACGAGAAGATGACGTACCGCGGTCTTCTTCTCGATGTCGGATGCTGCGTTGAATATCTCACTGACTACAGAGGATGTGGCAGCATTGTGCAGAGCTGGCGATGAACGCGACGGCTTCGTGTCCTTGACCTCTTTTACACGTGCCTTTGAAGGTAACAAAATGTTGAGCTCTGGAGCTTCTCCTGATCGCAAACGAGAAACGCTGGGCTTTGGAAAAAGTTGCTTGCCAATCTGTCGGTCTACTGAGTTGATCTCTTCACCGTTGAACCGCAAGACGTTCTATAACCACACATGAAATGGTAAGCCTGTGCTTGACGATGGGTTTGCAATGTATTAGAGCGTACACTGATTCGAGCACCGACGAATCGCTTGAGAAGAGTCTTGGCACAGACAGGATTCTGGGAAATAAATATCTAAAAGCCAAACAATTAGTGCTCGAAGTAGGCAACTCCTATAGCTACCATGAGTACCAACCTCTTCAGCTTTCGAGCCCACAGTATTCAGCCACAGCAGCTCATCAAATGACTGGAGATCGTTATTTGCGAAGATAATTCTTCTCAAACGTGTGAAAAGCTTCAAATTGGCGTTTGTAGCGCTACTGACAGCATTCACGATCTTGCTAATACCCACATATCGAAACGAAATCGTGGTCAATAATGAGTGAGCTTTCGTCTGCTCGAGTGCATCAAATGCCTCTCCATAAATGGCAAGAACGCGATAGTCACTGTACACCTCAATCTCAGAAAAGCCCGTACTGTCGCTGTAAACCGTCAATTCCTCGCGAGTTATGGGCGTGGTCTCTCGCTCTTCATACCCGGTATGGGAAACCAGTTTATCTTTCGTAGGGATTCCCCAAGAAGAGAGATACGACAGATCTCGTGAGTCTTTGCTACCCAACGGAGAATGCACGAGTTCAGTACGTCGCTCCCAATACGCCTTGACGTATGAAATCGCTTGCGTTCTTGCAGCTGCTTCTGCTGTATCAACGCATTTGCTTGGGGAATTGGCATGTAGCAGAGCTTCTTTTTTATCGGCATCACTTAAAGGCTTTAAATCCAAATGCTTCAATGACGGAAAGCTACGTATCATGCGCACACGATACTCCATCTGGTTGGGCGCGCAGACTCCATTCGAGTCCAGACGCAACTCGCTGATGGACGAAACCTAAATATCACAACATTATTCGTTAGTTGTTTCACCTAACGGCTGTAGAACGCTTCCTACAAACCTGGAAAAGCGGTTCTATCGCTTCGAGTGTCTCGATCTTGTTGTTTGATAGGAAAAGTCTTAATAGCGAAGGCAGGTTGCCAATTGTTCCAATGCGATTGATTCGATTCCGTCGAAGATTTAGCTCGGTGAGGAGCATCAATTTGTCGATGTTTTCTACTGTGGAAATCATGTTCCCACCCAGGTTTAGAACTCGCAGCTCTTTGAGTTCATTCAGATTCTGCATCTGCTCAATTTCGTTGCTTCACAAACAATATTATCGTCAAAGCAGTTCTTTGATTACGATTAGGCTGATACTGGCGTACCTGTGTAAATCCAGTACGTCCAGCTTCTGCAAGCACTCTAGATTCTCAATGGTCCGAAGGCGATTTTTTCCCATCATGAGCACTCGTAGGTTCGGCACTAAGTGTAAATTCTCGAGTTTCTGCGGAATAAATAATTCATCAAGTGGATTAGTCACCACATAAATTGCAACTACGAACGTGTATGTTACCTCGATGCGGTTATTGTATAGGTCAAGAAATATAAGATTTGGTAATCCCAATAGGTTTTCTATCCTCCGGATGACATTGTTTTGAAGGTTGAGAAGGCGTAATGTTTGCTCGCCTTCGAGAAGAGGAATCACTGGCAGGTTACGACGGTCGAGATTTAAGCGCTCGGGGTTCGTTGCTTTTGTCTGATGCACGATAGAGTTTAAATATTCTTATGAACACTACTCAATGAGAGCACTAGACGTGCCTACCTTTTGATTCCGATAGACGATCGGCACTCCTGGGATCTCGGCAGTCACTGCAAAGTGCACCTATCCTTCGTCAGGTCAGCGGCCATACCTTCCTATTCTGTAATGATCCTCGTTGTTTTCGTACCTCTTGGTTAGGAGTACTTACTCGTTGCTCTCCAGCTCCAGAATACTTCATGTCATTAGCTACCATTGAATCTGTCCGGGTCCTATAACGATCATTGCTAGTATGGAGTTCTGCCGTCCCAGCTTGAAACGAATGCGACAGTTCTCCGTGGCGATGCCAACCATGCGTCTGTCGTTCATGCCCGAATAGTTAATACCTGTAAATCGATCAAGACACGCTCACTTACAGTACTCGATGAATCTACTGAGGTCGATAGCACTTCTGGTGACCTCCTAGAGCGAAAAAGGTGGGATCCGATGCAGTATTCGTTGCATTTATGAACAACATTCTTTCTTACCTGACGTAGCCACGTACGTTGCCCTGATATCCTGGATACCGAGTGTCTAGGATCTGACAATTTCAGTTGTGCAAGTTAGCCGTGTTAGTCACAAAGTAAAAACAACGCCACGTACTTCACTAGCAGTGGCAGGTCTTGTTGGCGCCTCCTTGATAAGCACCTCTCGATCATTTCTTAGCAGTTCTGTAGGCTGAATCCCATAATTGATGAGTAAATGTTCCGAGTGTGGCAACCATTGACATCCTCACCGAGTTAGCTGTGGATCGACGTTGATGATAAAGCTGCTGATGTGGAGGCAAGACATGCCGCCTCCGACTTGTTGGTGACACTATTCCTACAGGTATGGAGTACGGTGCTTGAGCAGAAACCGCTCGATTTGCCCCTGGTGCACTGAAAATTGAGCTGTTGACAGGAGCTTGGAAGCCTACTGCTCGTGATGGCTCGTCCGGTATATTTTGCTTTGTCCATACATTTTGAGAGTAGCGCGAACTTGCTTTGCGTTCGCCCATTCCCGACGTCCGTAGAGCTGGACTGCGTGCTACATTCCGCCGAATGCAAGTAAAATAAAATAATTCTATAAGATCACTTCTTCGTTTCCAAAACCAGTAGTAAACTCACCACTAGCATCGTTGAGTTCTGGAAAATTACTTGTCCCTGTCATCGATTTCTTTTCAAAACTCCGTCCTGGTGGCCCCAAGTCCCCGCTGATAGCCTTACTCTGTAAGAAAAAAATATCAATCGCAAGCAAACCAACAATGATGATGCCACGACTGGCATAACGTACGAAACTCGAGAGGTTTTCCTTGCGGGCTGCAGCGATTTTGCTGAACAATCCAAGCGACACGTTGCCATCGCTGCGCCTGGGGACAGTTGATCCTCCTCCCGCCATACTCGACGTAGACCCAGACAGGTACGCCGTGTCCATAATTCCCTTCTAGAATTATAGCACAGACGCTTTAGATCAGCTTACCCTGAAGAGGCACAATACGAAACAGTCAAAGCGGTTCGCACCTAGTGATAAGCAGCACAAAGTAGACAATAGAAGCGCATTAAAGGTATTTTGTGTGTTGGCATGGTTTATCGCTAGCCAGAGGAGGCACGATAGACCAGCGTTCTCCCCTTTCGTTTGGCAGGTCATTCCTGTCTCCTCTTTAACTCCTTGTTTAAGTCTCCGGCTCGTAGTCCGGGTTCTTTCGGAGGATAACAACGCCTTCTAGCACGTTCGTGAGCGGGATGTACTCTTCAGTCGCCAGCTCTGCACGGTCCTTGACGTTCAGCAGCACAGGTGTCGTGTGCGTCTGGAATCCTGTGATAGACTTTGGCCGACCAGCTTGGCCCACAATCTCAACCTATACAACAGCACAACAAACCAACGTAAGTGCAAACAGCACAGCAAGCATATCTCTATACAAGAACGTACCGCCTGGCCGACTCGGACGGAAACGGGAAGCGGGTTCAGCTCCTCATCCAGCGTGATCAGCATACGGGGCTGCATTGCTGTGGCGATGCAGTAAAGAATGTAGTGAGAAGTATCCAGGATCGTGTGCTCCATATCTAGCGACGCGTGCAGGATCGTCAGCAGGCCGCTCACAGCCACACGAGACATGATCAGTCGGTCTGAGTGGAACGGGTGCAGAGTCATCAAACCCTTGCCCATGTGCAGTAAACCTTGTGCGATACGAACGACAAAGAGGTGGTTGGCCTCGCGACTGTAGAATTCCGACAGCTGACGCAGCAGACCAGCCACTCGCGAGTTGTTCGTGCCAGCAGCAACGAGACCAAGCGCGAGAATGGCGTTCTGCGCGACGCCCGAGTCCACGTCGTGTGTAAGGCGCGACAGCGTGTCAATCAGCGCGTATTCTGGGTTAGACACGCTCAGCAGAGCGAACGCTAGAGGCACAGCGCGTCTCACTGCCACTTCTCCGTACTGCAGCAAGTGATCGAATGAGCGCATGGCCATTTCACTGCCGATGTTTTCTCCCATCGTGATCAGAGCGATACCAAGCACAGCGACACTCTGGTGCTGAGCCTCAATAGGGTCTTCAATGTGTTCGGCGCAGGTACGCAGAAGCTGTTGCACCTTCAGCACGTTACCGGAGCCAGCGTACGCGCACGTCTCCAACGTAATAGCCAGGTACTTAGACATCTTGTGCTCAATAGTCTTAGCCGCTTCCAGCATAGCCTCCACACGCTCCTGACGGCTAATAATTCAACAACATAAACTCTCATTAGATACGCAATTCCTACTCGCTGATAGCATATCACGTACCCAAGATACAGTAGACCCAGACCGAGAGCCAGGAAGCGAGCGCAGGATGAGTCCAACTCCGCATCTGAGCTCTCCATCAATCTCTGCATAAGCACACTTCCCGCTTCTTCATCACAAGTGCCCACCTCCACCATTCCAAGTGCCAGAGCAGCATATGAAACCTCCTGAATGTCAGCATTCTCATCAGCATGCGAAACCACAGGAATCAACAACTCCGACACATCTTCACGAGCCGAACCGGCGTACGCAATGCCCAGACCCAAGCAGGAAGCGCAGCGGATCGAGCAGTTGCCCGAGTCAATGTGTTCCGACAGCAGAGCAAGCGCAGGGTCGCAGTCGTTGCGAATACCAGCGCTAACCACGCCAACACCGAGGATAGCACCGGCCTTAACGTACTCATCACCCGAGTAGAGGTACTTATCAATCTGCGTGATACCCTCTTCGACGTTCCACAGCATAATCATACCCAATGACGCAGCAGCACTCATCATACCGTGTTTCTTGTTCTTGTACAGCCACGTGTTGCCCTCCGGAGTCATGAGTTTATCAGTCCCATAACCAGCATTCACCAGAGCGTTCACAAAAGTCGAGGCCAAGTTAGCACGCGCCGAGTCTGCAGGCTGCGAGCCAGAGTCGCGGCCACGGCCCACGCTGGCCGTCTCTGACAAGTGGGACTTGTAAATATCCTCTGGCGTCTTGGCCTCCATCACATCGAGATCACGGGCCAGCGCGAGGAACTTGTCGCTCAAGTCGGAATTGCCGATAATCTCGTTGGCCGATGCCTCGCTCTCGTCCTCGTAGAAGCAGCGCTGACGGCCCAAAATGTAGCCCATTTGACTGCGCACAACGTCGTCCTTGCACTTCTGGAACACTTCCGTCACAAAGTCGTCGTTACCGACACGTAGCGCCACACGGAGAGCATCTGGGTACTGCTCGAGACGCAGGAACAGCGAGTACGCTGTGTTCAACAAGTTGACAAGGTCCTCGGCGTCCGACATGAAATCAGCGCAAGCCAAAAGGTACAGACACACTCGCTGGTAGTTCTTCTCGTCGATATCCGGACTCTTTAGCAACTTGGCCAGCTGCTGTACTTCAATGAGGATGTCAATGGCCTCAGGCTCTGCGTTGTGCTGCATGTGGAACGGCACGATGGCGTCCACGATCTCCAGCAAGTCGCGCACGTCCGGGTCCACGGCGTTCTCGGCCGTGATGCGGGCGTTGTACTCCTCGCCGACTTCCCCGGCCAGTGAGCGCACGAATTCGTGGCCCCATGAGCCGAGATCCGTGCTGTTGCCCAGTAATTTAAACTTGAGGCTCTCGCGCGAACCTTCCTTGGCCATCGTCATGGCCAGCACGGCCAGCACGTCGGCCATGAGCTTCTTGGTCTCGCCAGCCTGGAACGTCGCGTAGGCCGTCTTGAGGTCGTCGTAGGATGGTCGCAGGAACTTCAAAGGCTTGGGTACCGACGTCATAGACGATGTGGCCGTGCGGATCTCGCGACGTAGCAGCTCCAACGCCAGCTGCTTGACGCCAATCTCTTCTTGTGGGCCGCATACGCGGGCCACAGCCGTCTCTAGGTCTTCCTTCAGCTTGCGGTCCTCCTCCGACTAGATAAATGAAAAGGTAGAATTAATGACAAGTCAAGATACGGATCTTGTTTGCGCCAATACGTACGAGCTCCTCTTCGGTCGGCCCGTCTTCTGTCGGGTTGGCGGTCTTGGCGGCATCTGGTGTCTTGTCGTCTTTGGCCGCAGGGTCCTTGGCCGGCACGGGGATCTGCGCAGTCTCCTTCATGCTGCTTCTACCGCTTCCTTCCTTTGCGTTGTGGTTTTCCCCCTGGCTAAGGATCTTTTTGGAGGTGGCGTGAAGGTTGCTTGTTGAAAAGGGCTAGATTTGCAATTGCATTTTCCTCAAATAACCCAATAAATGGGTGAATGCTGGATACATTTTCAAAAACCACCTTTTGCAACAAAACGTGGGTTTTGGAAAAAGTGTAGTTATCCAGTTTTGGTGAATTGACAGGATTTGTTGGTCATTTTACAAAATACAGCTTACGACCAATAAATTCTGTATTTTGGATGAGTACACTTCTTCCAGAACCCACAATTTGTGTGGGTTTTGGAAGGAAGTTTGGTTGGGACATTTGAAAGAAAATTCCAATAACAAACGTTTATCCGGGCTGGTCAAAGTTCATGAAAATTGCATTAAAAAATTGTGGACGTTTTTCAGCGGGAAAAACACATTAAAATTCTCGCTGAAAAACATCCAACGGGTATTTGAACTTCAAAAAAAAAAATGTCTTTGAGTGGTGATATAATCGCTGGCATTTTAAGCGGGTGGCGGCTGGTGCTGCTTCTCGTGCTCCATGAATTCAACTTGCTCGGCAAGTGAACTAATCGAAGTTTCTAGTTGCGCAATGATCTGTGCTTCGATCGGCGAGATGCCTGATGCTGGCATTGATTTTGGTCGGGCTTCCAACTCCGCTCGAAGCTGCCGGTTTTCAGTCTGTTCAACGTAAACTAGTCAGTTTGTTATACATGCGATGGCTTATGAAAAGTATCTGCACGTGATGCAGGCGAGTCTTACCTCAACCTTGTTAACATATTGTTGCATTTCTCTTTTCTCCGCCTCAAGAGAGCTTAATCGTTCAATAAGATACTCGATCTGTCGTGCATAACACCTGTGAGTCGTTTGCTAATATTCTTCGATAACTCCTTGTATACACGCACCGTCTTCACATGACTGGTTGCTGTCGAAGCAGCCACTTCATCGTTGTTATCAGCTCTATCCTCTTCTTCCGAATTATTATAGTTGTTGTTGTCCTCGTGATGAGATACACTGGAGTCGTCGTTGCTGCTGATAGTCAATCGGTGGTGAACTCGATCATTTCGAGCTTTCGGAGAAACCAAGGTGAATTTATTGGATGCCATTCCAGTCGTGTTGACATTTTTTACTGCTGTATTTTTTCCAAGTGTCTCCAGATAACACACTTCGACGACTGTGTCCTTGCCAACGCCCCATTCAAGCAGCAAACCACCAAGTGCCATCCGTTTTTCGCGTGATTCAGTGGCCACTTGCTGAAGATAACGATTGCGATCGTACAGTATCGAGTCCAGTGTTGAGAGTGTACTCTTTCCAACTTTGAGAATCACAGCGCTACATAAGTATCTTTGCCAATCTAATAAATTAACTTCTTGAACTTGAAATCGTACCAGGATTTTTCATGTCGGCAAGAGCAAGCACAGCTAATGTCTGGTTACTCTTGCTCAGCGTATCGATAAACAGCTCTGTTCCTTGGCGTGAGAGGTGATTGCCTCCAAGGTTCAGGCCTTAGACATACAGATAGTTAGTGGTGCGTTGGGTAAGGTCAGTGCAAACAGGCGTACCAAGTAGCCACTTGTCGTTGTGAAGTGCGTCGCAGATCGCTTCAGTAGTCTCATCACCGAGAGTGTTGCGCGATAAATTGATCAGCAGATCGGGTGATGCTGGGGCAAATGGGGCCTCACCACGCAAACTTGAGCTCCATATCGATTCGTCCTTAATCACCCCGTGAAGCTTAACACATCAAATATTGATTGCAAAGGTAAGCAAGATACAAAATTGATAAAAAGACTATGCTTACTGCGATGATTTTGGCGATATGATCCTTCGCCTTGTCAGTTAGGCCGCACCCCGCCAAGGAGATCATGTGCAGTGCGGGGCACTTTCCGAGCGCTATAGCTATGGCTGGATTAATGGTAAATAGCACAGTGAGCTTTGTACAAGAGGCCTATCTGGTGAAAAACCAAGTAGGATGTATACCCTCTAGCCCTTCATCACCCAAGTTCGAGCCACTAAGACTGACATCTTCAAGTTGGTGGCAGTGGAAAAGTGCCTACCGAGACAAAATAAACTTGTTAGACAAGATAATGAAAATTCTCTCGATGCTACAGACGTACTTTGGATAGAAGTGGCGTATCCTCTAGAGATATCCTCACCCCTATAAGGTGGAAATGCACCAAATTTGGTGTTTTGTAGGCCGACGCACTAGCCGATCTATCGCACGGCGTACACAAGTGAGAATATTTACAGTCAAAGTGTAGGTATCTTGATAATACCTCACCTCACAACGATTGATGCTCCTTCATTTTCATATGCAAACGCTCTTTTGAGACTCAGACGATCAAATTTAGTTCGCAAGTCTACAAAAATTGCACGAGCAATTGTTATGAAGACGAAGCGAGATATATTTTGGACACATTCGTATACACAACGAACCTCGGTTGATCGTCACAGATCCGAGTGAGAGGCTGATTTGTGAGCACGTCTTCGTTTTCTGAAGAAACTCCATGTTGAACGCGAGCTATCGCGATACAAACACAAAACCTCAATAACAATCTGGGCCACATGTTCGACATTCTCCACTGCGTACCTCTTCCTCCCCAAAGCGATCAAGTTTGAGCACAAAGCGTGCCTCCCGCAATGCAGCCAATAGTCGTGGGTCTGGATCCGCGAGCTTCTCAACGCAGGCGTCCAGATATCGCCGTTGATCCGGGGTGTAGGATTCTTTCGAGGTCGAGGTGGTGTGGTTATAGGAGGTGTTAACTCGGCGCTTTTGCGCCTTGGCTACCAGCACATTTTGCTTGCGCTTGTAAGCTTCGATGGAGAGCGGCGCTGCCATGACGAGGCGAAGGAATTCTTAGTAGTAACCGAAGTGACCACGTCGATTCGTGATCAGAGGTTACTCTCTGTAGTTTTTAGCGTTTCTGATTGAACAACCATCGTTGGAAGATCGACATCTAGCTTGTCCAAGTGAGGTGAAGACATCTTTGCTTATTTGCACGGTTGGGTGAGGGGGTAAGGCCTGGTCTGCATGGTGTCAACTACTACAAGTCGGTTGTCGGACTCCGTGGAGGTTGTAGCTGCAGGAGACGCTCGTCTCGGTTTGGCAGGGATCCCCTCCACTTGATTTATATCGCAATGGCGGATGATGCCACGACACGTGAATGCACCGCTGACGCTGTCACTGCCGGTATATTTTGCTAGTTTCGGGGCGAGTTACCGGTACGTAGCGTGACCGATTTGTATGGTACTTCAACTTGTCACTGAGTAATCGATGGCACTTCGGCATAGAAATGTACTCGAAGCTGCATCAAGAAAATGTTGAGCGTCGAAAAAATGTTAGTCGAGGCAACTCCAAATGCCACAACTTCAGATCCTGAGAAGGTGCGAATTGTTGAACTACACGTCATTTTGGCTTTTTTGTTGCCACACTCTTGCCGTAATCGATTATTACTAGTCGATTACGGCGAGGTCCGCTAGTCGACAAGCGGATCTGCTTCCCGATCCTCCTTTGTTGGCGGTTGCATGGGGCCCATGCATGGGCTTTTACTACAGTGTCTAGCATAGTATCGAATGTTGATACGGGTTAATGCGATCTGTCATAGATTTTATGCCTTCGACGCAATGCTGTCCTTGATAGATCCTACGTGTTACAGCAATGCTGCCATCTAAGCTTACTGTTCGTCAATGAGCTCAAAAGTGCGACCTGGCCAAGTTGAAGTGGTCGGATTACGGCTGGTACACGAACGTGCAGCAACGCGATATAAATCAAGTGGTGGCTTCAAAACACCGAAACAAGATGAAAGGGACACGCTCGTGTTCATGTAGCAGAAAGCGCCATAGATGGCGAAACTCGATTTGAAAACCTTCCAACCTGAATTATGCACTGCATAATATACAGGCCAACGTCAGCATCAACCAGATCAGCCCTTCTTTACTTAAGTAAGAAACAATCTACGGTAGAATATCTTTCCGACGCAGTTTTTCACCCCTGTTCAGCACTGGTATTGCCATTGAAATCACCACGGAGGTCATAGGACACTTTCCTAGTGCATTTCCACATCGACCACCGATTACTCCACCAGTGACAGGTTGAACTATAAAGTCATACAAATCGACCACGCTTTCTAATAACATACATGTAACTCGCCCCAAACAAGCAAAACAAACTGCGAGTGGCAGCGTCAGCGGTGCGTTCACATGTCGTGGCATCATCCGCCGTTGCGATATAAATCAAGTGGAGGGGATCCCTGCCAAACCGAGACGAGCGTCTCCTGCAGCTACAACCTCCACAACCGACTTGCAGTAGTTGACACCATGCAGACCAGGCCTTACCTCCTTAACCGTGCAAATAAGCAAAGATGTCTTCATCTCACTTTCCATTTGGACAATCAAGACCCAAAGCAAGAGTGACAAGCTCACAAGTTTTCCCGGGCAGCGGCTCCATCACGACAACTTCTCAACTGGAACCAACAAGCAAACCAACCCCGCCAAGCAACTATGCCGTCTGAAGCGCAAACGGACCCGGTGTACTCCGAGGTCACCACCCCCAAGGGCAACGACGGCGTCCCCCTCTACGACGAAGCTGCGGAACGCAACATTAAACCCAACTGGATCCTCTATTCCAGCATCCTTGTGGCATTACTGCAGCCCTTCCAGAGCGGTTGGTCGTCGTCCCAAACCAACCTGTCTCAATACAGCGACACGGATGAGTGCAATGCACGTCCTGTGGCTCCAGACACATGTCTAATGTTTTCGGGCCACTCGAAGCTCGAGTGGACATTCGCTGTGAACGCATGGATCTTCGGTGGCATGATCGGCTCTCTTTTCTGCGGCCACTTCAGTGATCTGTGGGGCCGTAGGAAGCTGCTCTTCGTCAACTGCATCTTCATGATCGCGGGTGCCGCGATCCAGACGCCCGTGTCGAACGTGTGGGCTTTTGCCTTCGGTCGCATGGTCGCTGGAATTGCATCGGGAACGGCCACGGGTACACTAGGTGCTTACACGAACGAGCTGTCTCCGCCTCACCTGCGTAACATGCTGGGCATGGGTCTGCAGATTTCCGTGACCATCGGTATTCTATTCCCGGCCATTTGCTTCTTCTTCGCCAACACGAGCAGTGGTTGGCGCTATCTGGCTGCGTTCCCTGCCGTCTTAGCCGTGCTCTTCCTCTTGTTGGCCCCGTCCTGTTGTGTCGAGAGTCCTGCGTGGTTGCTGATGAAGGGCCGTCGCGAGGAAGCCAAGCAAGTGATCACTCGCCTCTACGGTGAGGAGAACGTTTACCTCGCTCTCTCGTGGTTGGAGACGCCCTACAAGCCTGACCCAGAGCAAGCTCTCGTCGCTCAGGAGGAGTCTCTCTTCGCACCCAAGTACCGTCTCGCTCTCGCCACGGCCGTTCTGCTTTCATGTACGCAACAGCTTTCCGGTATCAACGCTGTCTTCTACTACTCCAACTCCATCTTTGAAGACGCCGGCATCTCGGACCCGCGAGTCGGCACACTCATCATCGACTTTGTCAACATTTGGCCGGCCTTCTCCACGGGGTTCTTAGCCAAACGCTTTGGTAACCGGAATCTCATCCTCTGGGGCATCGCCGGTATGTTCGTCATGGCCGTACTCATGACAGTGGCCTTCCTCGTGGATGTAGCGGCACTGTCCGTCGTGTTCATGGCCTTCTACGTGATCGCCTTCGGTGCCACGCTTGGGCCCCTCGTGTGGGTTATCACGGCTGATCTGTTCCCGGATTCGGTGCGCGCTACAGCGACGTCCATCGGTATTGGCGTCAACTGGCTCTGCAACCTTATCGTCGGTGTCTCCTACCCTTACATCGCCGACGCTTTTGACGACTACAGCTACGTGCCGTTCGTGGTGCTGCTGGCCATCTTCTACGTTTTGTCGCTCAAGCTCGTCCCTGAGACGTACGGCAAGTCGGCGGAGGAGGTGCAACGTGAGTTCCAGCGCAACCACCAATAGCTTCACCACGGGACCGTCACGACAAGTCGAAAACATGACGGTGTACTTTGACGAGTTCCGGGTGTTCGTTCCTTCATCGTTGGCCCGAGAGACTCGGTAGCGTACGCATTGCGTGCTGTGTCTTGACATTTATGATAGGGATTTACTTGAAGAGTAGTGTGTAGCGGATTTTGTCTTTGATACGCCAGGTTGTCGATACGGAATGGCTTTACAACGATCTGCTTGTGCTTTGGCCTCAAGCGTTCAATTAAGTTTGCTGCACTATGTAACGTGGTCATTTCGATAGCTCATGGCGACGCAGAACTCGTTGTTAGGATTATTGTATGGAAATTAAAGTGGTAAAGTGATGTTTTGACTTACCTTTCGCAGGACACAATACCAACTAATGCTGACCTGCGTACTCGCGTACTCATCAACTTGAAACAGCAGCGACCTGAGCTTGACCAAGTCGGTCGTGTGACGTGTGAGGTCATTTCATACACATCTCACGCATCTGCAATGTTCGGTTTCGAGCAAAAAAAAAAAAATCGGTCAAGACCCTTGATTCAAGAGTCCACTTGCGGGTCGTTGGCTCGAAAAGAAAGCTCTGTCGTGGAATATCTTGCCACTGGATGGTCGGCATTGGCTACGATAGCATGCAGCAAGTGCTACTTTCCAAGTAGAGCACTTCAACTTGCCACAAACGCGCCATATTTAACCGCCACAAATAAGCATACAAAAAACCTAGTTAAACCCCTGGCTGCTGACGTCAACATCACATTTCAACAAGCTCCAAATGCCTCAGTATCAATTCCGCACCCTGGTTCAATTGCCAATGCCTCGCAAGTACTTCATTGGTGGCAACTGGAAATGCGTACGTCACGAGTACTCCTAACTCTATCCGTCCAACAATCTATAACACTGATTTCTATACAGAATGGGACCCGTAGCTCTGTGCGTGATCTGGTGGCCATCCTCAATAAGACCGTCGTGAATCGTTCCCAAGTGGATGTGATCGTGGCGCCACCGTCGCTCCACCTGGACCAAGTCCAGCAGCTCCTCCAGCGCAGCATCGCTGTTTGCGCGCAGAACGTGAGCTTAACGGGGCTCGGAGCCTTCACAGGCGAGATCGCAGCCGAGCAACTCGCGGACTTGGGCATTTCGTGGACCATCACTGGTCACTCGGAACGCCGCGCATACTACGGTGAGACGGACGAGATCGTGGCCAAGAAGACGAAGCGCGCACTGGATCTCGGTCTCCAGGTCATTTTCTGCATTGGTGAGACGCTGGAGCAGCGCAAGGCGGGCCAGACTTTGGACGTGCTGACGAGGCAGACGAAGGCGTTGGCAGCGATCATCGGCGAGAAGGAGTGGGGGCGCGTGGTGGTCGCATATGAGCCCGTGTGGGCTATTGGCACGGGCGTTGTTGCTACTCCGGCGCAGGCGCAAGAAGCTCATCAGAAACTGCGTCAGTGGCTTGCTAGCAACGTGTCGACTAGCGGGGCTGAAAAATTACGGATCATCTATGGAGGATCCGTCAATGGGAAGAACTGTCAGGAGCTGATCAGGTTGGAAGATGTCGACGGCTTTTTGGTGGGCGGAGCGTCGCTCAAACCCGAATTCGACACTATCATCCGGAGCGCGCTGTAAGCTTGGAGGGGAAATGTTGCTGCGTGAAGTTGCCAATAAACTTGCTTTTTTTTACACCGTTGGGTTTTTGGTAGCTCTATAATATTACTGTAAACTTATACAAGTTAAATTAAACGTATTCAAGTAAAAATAAAAACTGTAAACTTATTCAAGATCATTTTGGTTGCTTGCATAAGTTTAAAAATATTGTATTTAATTCTGTATAAGTTTACAGAAATATTAAACGCCACCGTAATTGTCTCAGTTGAGTTGAATATTGTGCAGTAAAAGTAAAAGTGCGATGCGCGTATTTATAGTGAGGAACGTCCATGCCTGGACAAGCGAGGTTTCTTTGACTGCAAATATAGCTCACAAGAACTGTAATCTATTGGTGCCAGCAGCATCTCTCGCTCTTGCACGAGCACTGTGTAGCACCGACGATGGAGGGCAAGAAGACGTCAAAGCGAAAGACCAAGCGTGTTCGAATAAATATGACTCTGTGCAGGTACGAGGTGGTGCGCCGTGTGGCACGAGCTCGGGGCTGGAAGCTCGTGACAGATGACAAACCCGAAGGCAAACCATCGGTATGCAATATACACTGGATCGACGTCCCCGACATCCTCCCGACATTCAAGACATTGATGCCGTATCAGAAGGTAAATCACTTCCCAGGAATGGCCAACTTGGCATGCAAGTCCAAACTAGCACGAAACCTCGAGCGCATGAAGAAGCTATTTCCCGGTGAGTACGACTTTGTTCCTCGAACATGGATCTTGCCGTTCGACCAGTACGATTTCCAGCAAAATTTCAACTCGGAAGGTGAAAGCCAACGCACGTTCATTGTGAAACCTGACCACATGTGTCAAGGACGTGGTGTGTTCCTCACTCGCAAGCTCTCACAAATACCACGTGGGGATGTTCTAGTTGCTCAGCAATACGTTGCTCGCCCTCTGCTCATTGATGGCAAGAAGTTTGATCTACGCATTTACGTGCTTGTGACTTCGTGCTCTCCACTTCGAGTATACATTTTCAAGGACGGTTTGGTGAGAATGTGCACAGCGGACTACGTGACTCCCAATGCAGAAAATCTCGAGCAACGATTCATGCACCTTACCAACTATGCTGTGAACAAACACTCCAACAACTTCGAAACAAACAAAGGAGATGGCATTGAAGGTACAGGCAGTAAACGATCACTCAAATGGTTCTTCGTGTGGTTGAAGGAAAAACTCCCAAACGATAAGGTAATCAAACTATGGGACCAAATCGGTGATATCTGCCTGAAGACGATACTGTCTGTACAACCTACCCTGGCACAGGAGTATAGATCGACCTTTGCAAAGTATATTCGTCGCCCCAACTCAGCATCCAGATCTGACCCTCAGGCTAGCGATATGAGCTTGGGACTCGACAACAAGAAACGTCGACCCAGTAGTGGAGGCGATAAGGTCAACGATAAATGCGAGTCCTCCTCTCCTGCTGGCTCATCGACACCACCTTCCTGTTCTTTCGCCCTGTTGGGCATGGATGTGCTCATCGACGAACAACTCAAGCCGTGGCTACTAGAGGTCAACCACTTGCCAAGTTTTGGCTGCGATTCGGCTCTGGATTGGAGCGTGAAGGAACCTCTTATTTCCCAAACTTTTGACCTATTGAATATCTCTAGCAACGACAAAGAGCGATATGACACCGAGCATGCCCGTGCAATTCAACGTAGGCTTTACGGAGGTGTCTCGATTCCTGTCTCGAGCAATTCTGGATCTAGCTCAGTAATGAGTGGCAATCAGTATAGTGAACTTCCGCCGTTGATCCCTTCGCCTCGAACAATTGTCCCCGACGATACTAACGAATCCGATAAGGGGAACCAGTTGCCATTGAACGCAGACCAGCTTCGTGAAGCGCTTACCAATTACTACTCCCACTTCAACGCGGATCGCCTGCGTCATCTTGACACAATTATGACTAAGTATGTTGACAATCAGGAGGAACTAAGTCGCAGTCTCCAGCTAAAATATGGCAAAAGTATCTTCGACTTCGCGCATCGCGATCCTGTTAGCAACAATGGTCAAGTAGAAGAAGACGCCAGACAAAAAGTCGATCAGGAACCGCTGATTGACTTTGTTCGTATATATCCTCCGCAATGCTCACAGAAAGATTCGAAGTACCGCAAGATGTTGGACGCTTCGCAGCAGTATATCGATGAACTGCAATTGCGGTTCTCGGCACCACTGCAGCATCGCCGACCAGAAACAGACAGCAATGGAGTGGTGCTCCCACAGCTGAAAGGTGTCCAGAAAAAAGAGCAGCTTGGTCGAGACTGCTTCGGGTTTTCTGGAACTGACAAAGCGCAGTGGTTCGCGGCTGCAGCTGATAAAAAACCTTTGGTAGTACCGGGGCCGATGCAAGTGGCAGCAGCTCATCGAATGATGCTAGGTCACTCCAGCCAAAAGTTGTCTATCAAACCTCCCACTCCGCCAGAACCTCTTCCTTCCCGCTCCGGCACCCCTGTAAACTACGGGCTTCAATATCGTGAACGACTCGCAACGCTCAAGAACAAGCCGACGCTTACCGTCTCTCAGGTTTCCTTCTGCTTCGACGGGCCATTTTAACCATCGTTCACAGCGATAGTAATACCTACTAGTATCATCCTTACTTCTGTGTGATGTGCAAATCTACTGAACCTTCAAAGACGCCTCATCAATCGATCTCGATAATGTCAGGCGACCGCTTTCTCTTCTTTAGAGACTGAGTAGTGGCTGCACTCTCCGAACCCTTTGTCGCACTCATAAGACATCGCGGGAGTTGAATCTGAAATCTGTCCTTCTTCAAATGCTGAGCTTGAGGCCCAGGAACCAAATAGCAGATCGTGTTGTACGCTGTATAACTGATCTCGGGTTGAAGAACGTTACTGCCGTACGTAACAACAAGTTAGATATTGCTCTGCGTGTTATTGACTCTGTGCGGGTTGCTTACCTCAACAGAAGTTTGATAACGAGGGTATCACATACGCCTCGAGACAGCGATTTTATGGTAGGGTCCAAGTCTGTCCATTTAAGCGCAAACTTTCTAGATCTGAACTCGTCAATAATCTGCTTCAGCGTGAGACGCCTTTCCCTGTGACAAAGTAGCAGCATAGGTGAGCTATGACAAAACACCAATTACAGGATTACCCGCTTACAGCTTCTTTGCATCCTCGGTAATTGCGATGAGAGCTTTCGAGTGCTCTGACAAATCAATTGTGTCTTCGGTGTCAATGTCTCGCTTGCAGTTGTCACATGCTCCTCCACATATTGCATCAGACTCGAAATCCTCTCTGTTATACAAAATCAGAATAAAAAAGCACATGAGTGCATCAGCGTTTGAGCCGCAAGGATTTAAGTACGAACCCAAAGTAAGCTGCCATCGTAGACTGACGGCATTGCGAAAGCTCCTCGCAATACTTGATCATTGATCGCAAGTTAAGCATGCCGCCCACTTCTGCCTGGACAATATTGCAAACGCGTAGCACGTCCGACGGTTTGTACATTAATACACATCGGGCAGACTTTCCATCACGACCTGCCCGTCCTGATTCTTGGTAGTAACCTTCGATAGACTGCACCTCGAACAACGTAAGCGATCAAAATTATCAGGGCATTCAGCATACCTACGCACCTTGGAAAGCGTAAAGTGTATCACAAAGCGCACATCTGGCTTGTTGATCCCAAGACCAAATGCTATGGTTGCCACCACAACCTGTAGCCTGTTGCAAATCCAGGCCATGTGAGTTTCTTCCTTCTTCTCCACGTATGCATGGTAACACGCCGCCCGAATGTTAGCTTGGCAAAGGCTCTGCGTCACCTGCTCTGTTTCTTTTCTTGTTAGGCAGTACACGATTCCGGTATCACTCGACGAAAACGATTTAATCAGGCGGACGAGGGAATCCATTGCTGTAGGATCCTTTGCTGGCTTCTCAATAACCTGCAAAGGACAGTAGAAAATTGTTATACATGCTCGTAAGCAAACACCGAGTAGTATTTCACGTACCTCGTAATGCAAATTGTTTCTAAGGAACGATGTCCGAAACGATACGCAGTTCTGAATCTCGAGAATAGCCTTCACATCCTTCGCCAGGCGTGGCGTGGCAGTTGCTGTCAGTGCCAAAATGGGTACTTTGGGGAACTGACGCTTTAAAATGCTGAGCTTCGAGTAGTCCTGCATGTATAGATAAAAACTACGTGAGGAAATGCGTTTTCCTCTGAGGCCATGTTCAGCTTGGACGTACATTCCGGAAATCGTGTCCCCATTGGCTGCAGCAGTGAGCTTCATCGATTACAAAGCGCTTGAGTCTATCAGTCTGGTACGCCTTCTCTAGCCTCGACATGAGGAGTTTGCTTTTGATGATTTTCTCTGGTGTGACCAACAGGATCTTCAGTTTACTGTCAGATTTCAGCATCGATTTATAAATTGCCGCAGCATCTCCACGAGTCTGTTCTCCAGACAATGGACACGCTGCTCCTTTCCCAGCGATGTCATTAAACAGCACCACTTGGTCCTGGATGAGCGAGATCAGCGGTGAGATGACCACCGTAAAACCAGAATTCTGCTGCATCAACAGCCATTAGTCTAGCTACAGTTCCACCTCTATTATCACGCTGTAACTGTACCCCGTCAAGCAGCGCTGGTAGCTGATAGCAGAGACTCTTGCCGCCTCCGGATCGCATGACCACGAACACATCTTGCTTGGACAGCGTCGCGTTGATCACCTCCTCCTGCACCGAGCGAAACCCCGGCAAAAGAAACTGCAACAACAACTACTGTTAGCTTCTTAATAAATTATTGTACATTAGCGCGGATCTGCTCCTACACTGTCTGTGAGCAGTTTGTGGATCTGCTCCGTCCATTCGAACTGCGCTTTCCAGTCTGGTGCAGGTTTCCCCGTGTCTTTTGCTGCACGTGCTTCCTCTTCGATCTGTTCATACTCCAATTGAGCTTGCAATTCCTTTTTCCTCTCTAGCAGCTCGCTCTGTCGGAGGAAAAGCACGTCCAAGTCCTCCTCCACCTCTTGCAGCTCTTCCTGTACCTGCGCCAGTTCCGCAACGGCGTTGATCATGGCTTTGAAGAATGATTGTCAATGTGCACTATTCAAGTCAGTTGCAAGATGAAGGGAGCGCTTCCCTCTCAATTTGCAACTGTCCATTCCGCACTGAGTAGTCGCGTACACAACAAGTTTGTATCGGATCTTGAAGAGGAAGCGGACTACGCACGTGGAATCAACGTGCTACCAGCCCTCATCCAGCAGAGGAGGAAGATGTCGCTGCTGAAGGCGTCGACGGTAAGTGCCTTCCTTAATACACAGTATTGCTCCCCGTAGCGGATGCGTGAAGACATGTCGGCCATCGTCTAATTGAGCTAATGCCTTGAATGTATCGGTTGAACTTGGTTAGGTGAACTTTGAGAACGAATGGAGAGAGATGCAACCGCCTCTGGCGTCGTTGGTCACTGGAACGCCACAGACGCTGACGAATGAGAAGTGGCTTAAGATGTACTCGTACGTGGCGTGGCGATCTTGCGTGTACTTGAAGTTAAGCCTTTAAAACGATGTACGTTATCACTTGACATCGCAGTGGCATCTACAAGATCTGCACGAATCCAGGAGCTCCACAAGCGGAGATGCTCTTCTTCCGATTGCGAGGGCTGCTGGTGAAGCACGTGGAGGCGATCTTGAAGGAGCTAAACGCGATCGACGGCGAGCCTGAGTTCCTGAGCCATTACTGCACCTCGTTCGAGGCGTTTACCACGGGAACAAGCTACATTTCTGAGCTTTTCCGCTATCTGGTTGGTGATTGGTTTTCTGCTAGACAATATGAAGATTTATCACGTTGTAATGGTAATGTTGATACAGAACCGCTATTGGATCTCGTATTCCCATTGCGAAACGGGTCAAGCTCCTGTTCCTGGCGTGTATCCAGTCACAGAAGTAAGTTTAGCGCGGTTTTCTCGGGAGATGACACGACATACTACTAACTTGCTCATGTACAGCTTTCACTCCACATTTGGCATGACATTGCGTTTTCAAAGCTCAAGAAGCGTCTGGTCAAGGCAATTATTCACATATTTCATGCAGCACGGCGCAAAAGAAGTGAGTGCTTTGAAGACGGAGACTGCATTGCCAGTACAGTTCAGGTGAACATGATTTCAGCCCTTGATTCTTGTCTGATGCGGTGATTCATACTAACAAGAATTGGCTTTTTGCAGACGTACTTCAGTCTAGGACTCTGCAGACAGGATCAAATGAGTCTCTATCGAGAAGAGCTTGAGCAGCCTTTTCTTGAGGTAAGAGCTACAAGCATTTCAGATATATACGAAAACTGGCCGACGGAAGTATGAATTTAGGATGCTGCCAGGTTTTACTCAGCGAAGGCGATTGCGTTGCTGTCCAGAGTGACAATCTCGGAATACTTACGAGAGGCCGAGCTTTTGTGTGCTCAAGAACAGAAGCGCTGTGAATCCCGGTTGCATCGGACGTGAGTCATGCTTGGTTTCAATGCCCGTGGTTGGTTGGGTATATAGATTAATGTGCATGCTTGCTTGATTTTGTTTATTCCAGCACTGTCATTCAAGTTCGACAAGCTTGCTGTCGTGTGTTGGTGGATGAACATGCTGATCGCATCTGCGAGGACGCCGAGAATTTCTTGATCAACAACCAGAAAGAGGATTTACATCGAATGTTCTCGCTGTTCTCTGAGCTCGCCAATGAAAATGCGCTGATATCTTTCAAGGTGATTTTCATTCTCAATTTTTTGTGCTGGTAGACGGTTTTATTGATCGTCTGGTGTTTAAATGCCGTGCATGCAGAATATTTTGAAGAAGTACATTGAGCGAAGCGGAATGGAAGTCGTCCAAAAATTTCAACAAGAAGAGACCACTAAGAACCCAGAGGGATACATTGAAGCCTTGGTGCAAGTCCGCAACAAGTACTTCGAGCTGATAAAGGACGCGTTCGGGTTTCACCCGTTAATGCGAACAGCACTTGATCAGGTTTGTTTACACTAACGGCATGGTTATTCTCCCAGTAGTTTGCTGTATTTCTCACTGTTCCAACTTTTTTTTTTTTTCGCTTCTTAGGCATGCCGGGCGTTTGCCAACTCCCACCCGCGACTTCCCGAATTGCTAGCAAAATATACACACTACTTAATGTCGCGTGACAAGAAACAGGGGTGTAGTCGTGCGCTACTCCTACCCGGGTCCCCACGATCGGTACTACCTCCTCTTCTGGACGATTTACTGGAGCAGAAAATCGAGAATATCAGCGTGGTATTCTGCCTCATCGACGACAAAGACATATTCAAGAAGTACTACTCAAAGTTTCTGGCGAAACGTCTCATCAAAGGTACGCACACGTTGAAGTCGGCTTGTTTCGCTTAAATATCTTAGGGTAGCAATACGCTTGCTGGTTAGGAACGTCTGCGTCGGACGACATGGAAATATTGCTCATTCAGAAACTGCGGGACATTTGCGGGTGTGATTTCGTATCAAAACTTCAAAAGATGATGAAGGACAAAATGTTGAGCAAGGTACACGAGATCTCGGTTCGAACTATGGCTCGCAGCAAATTGTAATAACTTTCATGTGTAGGAATTGATGGATTCGTTCACGGCGTGGCTCGAAGAGAAAGATATCGATCTGCGGTCTGCGGATGCTGCCAACGCACCTGCCATCGAACTTCATCACTCTGTAACGTACCACTGCGACGTTCTCACAGCAGGAGCATGGCCAATATCGAGTGCTGCCGCAGAGCACAAGATCTTTTTGCCGCCTGCCATGGAAGCCCACACAAACCTGTTCACACAGTTCTACACTGGACGGAGCACCGGGCGAAAGCTTCTGTGGATCCACCACCTTTCGTTCGGAATGATCCAGAGTCACTGTTTCGACAAACGCTATGAGTTCTTACTCAGCTTCTATCAAATGCTGATCCTCGTGCAGGTAATGTCTACAACTCAATTGAATTAACCTATTAAACTCACGTTCTTACGTTTTGCTTTCCTGTGCAGTTCAACACGGCGAAGGAGGAGATGAAACGATCAGACATTGTTCAGCTAACGAATATTCCGGAGCAAGATTGCGCTCATCACTTGGCAAGCCTCGTCAAGGTTGGCCATAAATACTGTTGTCGACGAAGTGTGTAGCTAACTGATGGACTTGTTTAGGCAAAGATACTGACCTCACGCGGTGATGGTACGAATCCAACCTTTGGCATTAACTTTGGGTTCTCCAGTCGGAAGCTTCGTGTATCGGTTCGTCATCTGCTGTGATACGGTCTGTTATGATGCACGCACTTACGTTGTTTTTCATGAATAGGCTGTACCAAACAGCCCAGTTGAATCCCCGAAGGCAGCCAAGGCCCCAACTCGAGAGGTGGAAGAAGATCGCAAGATGTCATTGCAAGCCGCGATCGTGCGCGTACTCAAGACGCGTCGAGACATTCGCCAGGCACAGCTGATGCACGAGGTGGCGGAGATGCTTGTCAACCAGTTCGTACCCTCCACTACAGCCATCAAGCAGAACGTGGAGATCCTCATCCAGAAAGAGTATCTCCGTCGTCACGAGGAGGACAAGACGAGATTTTTATACGTGGCTTGAGGTGTAGAGGGAAAGTATGCTTCTAAAAAAGTTCATTCTGCCGTAGGTATTAAACGCCTTTTACAAAATGCATGTCTTACCGTTCTAGCGCACACGCAGCGTACAGTTTCCGTACCCGTACTTCGCCTTGTATTTGTCAAAAATGCGCACAAGCTCGTGCTCGTACTGATCGTGCAGCTTTTCGATGTCCTCCGTGCTCGGATCATCCTTCTTCTCAATCGGAATAGACTTCCCAAAGACCTGGTTGACGGTCACCCCTTTATGCGGCAGCCAAAACAGCCACTTTGAGTAGCCATAACCAAGCAGCAACGCCACAGAGAATTTCTTCGCAATCATTTGGCGGAACGACAGTAGCACACTTTACAAATATTTTGCCACCAGCCACAGTTAGTAGTGAGTCACCATTGATGACTTTAACTCGAAACTCACCTGGAGTGCGTGAAGAGGTCTGTCTCTCCAAATGCGTAACCCGGAACGATCGGCACGCCGTACTTTAGTGCCAAGCGAATGTGTCCCTTGCGCTTCTTGACGTAGATCGTGTGGTTCCCACGCTGAGACAGCATCTGCTCTGCAATGCCGCCTACCAGGATCACCAGGCTCTTGCCATTCCGAAGCATCTACGCAAAACCCCACACATCGCCATTAGCTAGAAACTACACAGCACCTGCAGTTTTTACGTCTTCAATACCTTTTCCGCCACACTACGACGTGCATCAACACATCCAGACCAGAGTAAGTATTCACGGTAAAATGGTATCCGGAAACAAACCGACGCAGCTAAATGACGTCGCGTGGACAGCGGTACCGTCTCGTAAAACGCTGAGAACAAATTCATACAGTAAGTCACATGCGATTCGCCAGATACTGTGGAATGTTAACTCACGAGGAACAGTTTGTCCTGACATGAGAAGTCCGTGGTGAGTGGACAGCAATCCATGTGGGTGTGAACAGAATATGTGTTGCTTGGAGGCGTCAATGGGCTCCTCGAATTCTAGCGTCCCCGGAATGTGCGCCATGCCATGCCCAATGAAGGTGGCAAACCATGGCCAGTAGCGCTCCCCAGTGTACTCCGAGCCGTCCAAGTACGAAGGGAGATATGCTGCCACACACGCGGTTGCGATGGTTACCAAGGCACTCGCATGAATTGCGATACATGCGGAGGTCGTCGCCACAGCGAGGCCGACACCAAGCAGCCAAGTTTGTTGCAGGCCTGTCATAGTGAACTGAAATGAGACTGTGAAAATTTGACAAGTATCGTGAAATGACAGTTTAGTGTCATAGTGTGTTTTGACCGAGAAAAAGGTCTTAATTCAGTACATGTTAATAAACGCCTCTCGAGCCACCTCAAGCTCCATCATCCCCATCGACTTCATCGGCTAGAACAACTTCATAATCGTCGTCCATGAACATGGCATGTCGTCTAAAGAAGATCCCACGGGGGTCAAGATGGCCATCTTCTTCGTCAAAAATGACCTCTTCATCACTGCCACCGTCATTGTCAGAGTCCCCAAGGTATTCGTCCTCGGCGAAAATGTCTCCCTGCTGAGAGCCAGGACACCAGTCGAGCTCAAGGTGTTCAATAAGACGAAAGCTTTCCTCGTTGTCTCTGCAAAGAATGATATGCATATCGAGAAATGGATGTGCGCTAGCCACCTTGTCAAGCATAGGTTTCAGTTCGTCACGTAAGTAGGAAGTGCTCCAATCCTTGGCAACCGATGAGTTGTGCGGATTGAAAATATTCAGAGATGCCTTGAAGCTGCACGAGATGGCGCCCAGTTCTTCCTCGCTTGTCTCGGCGAGTCGGTTCAGTAGTGTAATAAGCTCAAAGTAGAACGGATGTGGAAGCGCAGTGTCGTGGTCAATTGGTCCTGCGAGGCTCAGGTCAAGCGTGCGATTCCCTCCAGCGTAGTGCTTCATTTTGAAAATGCGTTGCAGAAACTCGAATACGCCATCTCCTGAGCAACAAACGGCAGATAATTCAATCGAAGCCAAGCGCGAGTGATCCGCAAGTGCGAGTAGGCTACGGTCCGTAAATGTTTGAATCGGTCTGACAGTACGACTTCCTCCAAAAGCAGAGCAGTCGTGCACATACACAGACTGCAAGAGCGGGCAAGACTCAACAACGGCCTCCCAAAACTTGTCTCCAAAGATGTCAGCGTCGAGTAGAGTCGCAAGGGCCTCTTCGTTTTTCTCCTGGTCGATCGCAATGTCTAGCTCAATCAAACCGGGACAGCCTTTAAATACTGCAACCACATCGCTTGCTAGCAATCCGTATCCAGGCTTCTCAGTGGGCAAGCCCAACGATGCATCTCGTGTAAAATACTCCTCACGGTCCCACGATAAATTCGACGTCAGCGTCAACTTCTTCAAATTTGGCTTAACGTGATCTCCAAATACTCTGAAGAACGGATCTGCAAAAGGTACAACGACCCAGTGAAATTCGCGCAACTTAGTGCAAGTCTTATTGAACTTTTCCCATGTCTCGACCGAAATCATCCACTTCTCCTCACACGTGACATCGTTCATCTCGTCCAAAGCATGGCTATATCCATCCAAAAACTTCACATTCGGACAAAATGCAATTACGTCTTCAATAAATCTTGTACTGGTCCGAACCTTGTCCTCTTCTTCCCTCGTGGGCACCGTCAGTTGCTTTAATCCGCCACACTTTCCCTTCAAATGCCACCTCTCCATTGCACCTCTCAGCACCTTCGTCATTTTCCCAATAACGGCACTATTGACTCTTTCATCCATATCCTGTTTCCTTGGGAGCACCAAATACTCCAGTTGCAGACAGAATTTCGCTGCTGTCTTTAGTAAAATAGGCAAATGCCGACTCTCCAGTGGCATGAGCCTCAAATCGAGTCTTTTAAGCCCGGGCATTTGTGAGAAAATAATATCCCACGGGATCTCGCGGTCCTCCATCCACCACCAAACCCCAGTGGCGAACCGCGTGCCGTCCGAACGCCCCATTCGGATGCGGAGATCTCGCACTGAGCGTCCTCGAAGTTGAACTTGTCGTCGGATTTCCATAACTTCAGCTCTCGAGCCAAACTTCAATGTCAACTGCATCGTGTCACGCCGATAACGCGCCGCCAGTTCGTCGACAGCTTGATACCAGCTTTTCGAGACGAGCGCCACTTCGTATAGGTATTCTCCGGGAAATTCGCGGCGCATAGGCCCCAGTTTCGGCGTGTAGCTGAACAGGGCAAACTCCAGTACGAGAGAGAAGAGCGGCAAAGGCAACGAGGGTAGCGACATGCTAGGAGGCGGTGGTGGCGGCGACCTAGACATTTCCGACGAACTCTGCCGCTTGATGGCCATGCGTGTTGTGCAAAACTAGGCTATAGACTTTTAATACGAAATGCTGTTAACCAGTTCTGTTTCTTGAAGTTGACACTTTTTTTTCGAACTTCCCAGTTTTGGCGCCAAAATCTTTTTTTTTGTTTGTTAAAATGACGAGGAAACGCACCAAATCCGCACCCTCCGCCATGCCGCCCTCTACGCTGCCATCGTTGCCGCTCTCCGTCTTCTCTCTTGTTATGGAGTTCGCTGTATACGGCTACTCGCAAGATCTATTCCCCGCGAAGCGCTCTCACCCTCGAGAGCATCTGAAAGACGTGGCGATGGTGTCCAAGAGCTGGTTGCAACCTGTGAAGCAGCTAATGAAGCAATACGAGCAAGAAACGATGGAAATCCACCTGGAAACTGGGGCAAAAGAGGAAATCATAGCAATCCAAATCGAAACCGCAGCTCGGTGTGGAGCTGTACGCGATCTTAGAATCACTATTGGCAAAGAAAAGAACTACAGCTATGGGACACACAAATTCATGCTGCTGACCAAAGAAATGGAGGAGATGCTAGTGGACTGGAATGTACTTATAGCCAAGATGCCGGGTCTTCGACGCCTGGATCTGAAGCTGGTGCCACTACAGAGCAAACATCTGCCTGAACTGTTGAAGGCAGCAGGAAAATACTGCTCCCACCTGGAGAGTCTGGTGTTGCCACGGAAGGCGGAGTTGAAGGAAGCTGCCAAGGGAGAGAAGGTTGAGGCGGTACTTAAGGAACTCTATCGTGTATTGGAACAAGTACACTTGAAGGGGTATCGTGGAGGACTGAGGCAACTGACGGTGCCAACGAGAAATGATGCGGAGCGTCACCAATCCAGCAAAGAATTTCTCGAGAACGTGGCAAAATATTGTCCGAATGTCGAACATTTGGACGGCTCGGAACATTCTTTCCATGACTATGAAGGCGTTCGCTGCGAGGACAAGTGGATGGTGTCGTTGGACACTTGGGAGGAGTTTAACAAGACCTGCTCGAGTCTCCGTGAGTTCCACTGGGCGTCTGTTCCCTTCGCAGATCCGTTTTTCCACGTCTTCGGTGCAAATCTGAAGCCAGAATTGGAAACTCTGGGTGTCACTGCTAATTTGCTCTGGAATTGGAAAGAATACCTCCAGGTATGTGGTGCTGCCACTGCCGAAGCGATCCAGGACTGTTATGGACGACGCGCGAAAGAGATCGCTGTCATCTTTAAGAGTTGCCCTTCATTGAAAAATCTCACCGTCGAGATTGATCTGCAGAAATACACCGACTCGTCTGCTCGCCATTTCAAGATCGATAGTTTTGGCGATAAGTTCTGGGCATCGGTGGCTACGAACTGTCCTCGTCTTGAGCGGTTCGCCATCAGAAACTGCGCCAACTTCGAGGTGATGAATGTGAGACCTATTCGTACGTTCACAGACGCCTCGCTGGTTAGCCTCGCCGAGCTGAAAGATTTATACTCGGTGGAGAGCAACGCAGCTGTTATGTGCACGGGGGATGGCATCTTCGACTACATGCGCCGTGTGCTTGAGTTGAACTGCTACAGTAACAATTGGCGAATGCTGGATCTTCGCATTGGGGGCCAGCAGAACGGATTTTTCGGTGTACCCATGTTCTACTCGGTCGTTGTGGGACTGCTACGTTGTTTAGCTGAAGTAAATGAAAAGGACTTCGGCGCCGCAGCATGTAAGCAGAAGTTTGAGGTGTTTCTCAGCAATCCGTACCATTCGAGAGTGAGTAAGCAGTGGAGCTCCATCTATATGCGTGAAGAACTGAGACCATTGATGTACCGCGTGAAGGAGACGCATCCGTCGCTCAGTTTGAACGCTTCAGTGAATGGAGTGTCTGGAGACACTTTCTCGAAAATCGACATGTTCACACTGAGCTGGCGTCCTCGAGATAGGGAAAGAGATATGTTCTGGAACTCGGCAGAGGGCGAATACTACTGCGAAAATGACCCCAGCGACCGCATGCCGCCGGCACTGATGAATCTCTTCAATGAACTCCTCGGTTATAACTCCCAAGGCGGTGGCAGCGCTTCTTCTGGCGACGAAGATGGCGATGTGGAGGGAAATGGGGAGGACGATTTCGGAGGATTCTACCCTGTGTTGTAGGTGAAATATCTTCCCAGCCAGTTTTATATTTTACGCTATTCGTTATATTCGTCATCGTCAATTGATAATCGCAGTTAGAAAACGAGATTTTTCGCTTGGAAAGGCGAAACTTTGTTGCTTGGCAAAGCTTGACACGTTGAAGTTGGTCTGCAGTCTTTGCTTCGTAATCTCTTCACACTACACAATCCCCGTTTTAGTGACACATATTGCGTTTTTTTTTTTCGGTCTTAGCGAGCGGTTCATAATCCAACTGACGTCAGGGACATCAACGATGGCGGCAAAGTCGCTCAAGATCATGTTCCTCGGAGCCCCGGGCGCGGGCAAAGGCACGTACGCGTCCCGTATCACGCCCATGCTGCAGATTCCGACCATTTCGACAGGGGACCTGGTGCGTCATGAGATTAAGACCAACACTCCGCTGGGTGCTAAGATCAAGTCCTACAACAACAGCGGCGCGCTCGTGCCCGACCAGATTATCCTGGACATGATGGAGACGCGGCTGGCGCAGGACGATGCCAAGCGCGGCTTTATCCTGGACGGTTTTCCTCGAAATGTACCGCAAGCCGAGGCCTTCCAGCAAGTGACCAAGCTGGACCTGGTGGTGAACATCGACCTACCCCAGTGGATTCTCTCGGACAAGATCAGCGGCAGAAGGTCAGTAAATTCTACCTATACATGTTTAGGACAGGATAGACTCTAATTCTATGGGGGTATATGACTAGGGTGTGCACCAAGTGCGGCTCTGGCTACAACGTGGCCTTCATCAACCAGGGAGAGTACTACATGCCCCCGCTACTACCCAAGGTGGAGGGCATCTGCGACTCGTGTGGCTCGGCGTCGCTGGTGCAGCGTCCTGACGACTCCCCCGAGACGGTTAAACAGAGACTGGAAGTGTATAACCAGGAGACGGCACCACTCATTGACTTTTACACCAAGCTAGGGAACCTCAAAACGTTCGAGGTCAAGAAAGGACTTGCGGATCTCGATAAGCTCGTGGATCTCATCAATACAGAGCTCCATGCGTAGGTGGTAGGACTCAACAGAAAGCGGGATATAAAATCTTTTTGACCAGCCTATAATTTCTGCGTTGTCATTATTGCTGAGCTGTTGTCATTATTGCTGAGCTGTTCTCATTACTCCAAAATTTTCGGGTTTTGTTGCGTTAATTAGTTGAACACGTCCAGCTCCTGGCGTAACTGGACTAACGCGCTGTTCGCAGTACTCGAGAGATGCAATATGCGGATTTGGCGCAGATATTCCCGCGCGGTAAGAAGCTCCTGGTTGGAGATTTGGCTGGCATCAATCTTACCAAGCCAAGCACTGGCGTGTTCGATCCTCGATCGGAGAATAAACAGATCACCCGGCGAAATGCAGACATTAAGACCGTTTGTCAGCACCAGAGGCTTCAGCTTGTTCACACATGTACGCAGGGTATCGATCGAATTCCCGTCCGTCGTCGACGTACTGGTAGTATCATCCGAAGCAGTCGAAGGCATTGGCGTGTCAGCGGTACAGTGTAGCACCTCAGTTAAAGACGTTTGGGCAAGTGCAATAGCTTCTTCTTGGAGGCACGTTTCGTCTCCAGAGACCAGCAGACGAGTGACTCTATCGTTCGATTTGTCCGAGACCACGACTGTGAAGCGGCCAGTCGCATCCAGCTGGAATGCGATCTCGAGTTTCAGAACTAACGGAGTAGAGGCACGCCTTCCATCGACAAGAATACGACCCAGACAGTGCTCCAGCCTATTCGGAGCAGCCCCGGGACTGCGATTCGCGGTTAACCCTTCCAGAATGTCAAAGTTGATCTCGCGTTGGCAGCTCGCGTAGTACAATTGCGCTTGGTGCGTTGGTACCGCCGTGCTAGCGGGCACTACAACGAGGGTATCTCCACTGGAACTACGAATTCCTAGAGACAACGGCGTGGGCTCGTTCTTCAGTACATGACCAGTACTCTGAGCGGCAATCATCGACGCGCCAATCGCAGCGGTATGTTCCGGTAGATCCATGATTCGATTCCAGTGTTCGGCAAGGCAGTCTCCAAGGACTTCACGTAACTTTGGCACTTTCATCGCACCCCCAGTAATCAAAACTGCATCAAGGTCCTCCTTTTTCACTTTCGCGCGCGTTAAAACTTGCTCGACAGTAATTGGTAAGTTGTCCCATACTTCCGATCCGCACAAATTATCAAAATCTGCTCGCCAGATACTGCTAGTGAAGCCTGCCGCCGTCCCATTGACAGCACCAGGACCACGAGTACGCCAAGGCAGATCAATAGCAGCTTGTTGCGAAGTCGAGAGGATTCTTTGTACCAAAGCACAAGCACGTCGAAGGCGGCGAGAAAACGCTGGATTAGTCTTCGAACTGGTGTCGCCTGCCTTGACTTCATTGTGGAAATGCTCAAAGAGTCTATCCGTTAGAGCTTCACCACCCAGTTCAAGATTCCCCGCTGTAGCCTCGACCTCGACTTCGATCCCAGAAGAAGATCCGTCAGCTTCACGTACTCGAGCCAAAGTTACATCCAGGCCTCCTGCACCACAGTCTACCACAACGATTGTCTTCTCAAAGACAGCAGCCGCACCGTCAATAATGGAGTCTGCCACAGCGGACGCCGTAGATGAGATAACAAGTCGACTGACATTCAAGTCAGCAATTCTGCAGGCGTCCCAAACAGCCTGACGCTGAGTGCGATTGAAAGCTGCTGGTACCGTGACTACGGCACCGGTGACACGCTTTTTTGTGAAGATCTCAGCTCGGTTCTTGATCGTCGACAAGAGCATGGCTGCCACCTGTTCGGGATACAGCAGGTCTGGGACGTTGCCTTTAGCAGGACATTCCACTACAGCTTTGCCAGCAACACCTGCTTGAAGGTTAAATGCCCAACGATCAACATCTTGTGGAGATAACGCCTTTACTTTTTGTCCGAGTAGCATTGTCAGGTCGAACACAGTGTACGGATGTCCAGCCTTGGCTCGGTTTATTGCTTGGAGTCCTACTTCCCATTCTCCGGTACGAGTGACCCCCATGGACACGAAACTCGGTAGTGAGTAGCAGTTTTCTTTGTTCTGTGGTTCCAGAGGGATTAATGTGGCAACGCCGGTGTCACTGACAACGGCCGCCTCGCATTTTGTTCGACCAAAGTCAATGCCGATACTACATTCAGCTGTATCACAGAAGTCATCGACGGCGCTATCACTTGGTGGCGTAACTTCAGAGTCGCTGGTTGTGCCCAAGTCATGAGGGCCCTTGTCTTGACGACAATCAGAGCTAATACCCGCCATCGCTCAACTGGATTGGAAACCTGGGTAAGTCACGTTCCGTCAAGCACGTTTTGGAATTTGTAAAACAAGGCTCAAAAGAGTTGGAACTTAAAGTGCTTACGATTTCGTTGAGTTGCTAGTGAGGTAAATGCTTTTTCACCTCGATTGATTAGAATGCATTGAAGTCCAAACAGAGCTCACGTCAAAAAAAAAATCGTCTCTCGGAATTGTTAATTGTAGGCCACATCTCATTTTTAGCCACGGTTCTTCGACGGAATGAGGTTCTCGCAATGGCAATACTCGCGTTTCAAACACTTTTTCACGAAGCTTCATATTGAAGCCCAACACTACCAACCAGTCAGTACAAATTGATTGAAGTAACCTCCAAATTGAGCCCAGTACCTTCCCTGGTTTTATTCCCACGATTCTCTGGCCACGGGTCTTGTAGCGGCACGATACAAGACACAGTGCAATGCGCTCAGTCCGCTAACGAACCCCAGCGAGCTGGGGAGCTCCTTAGCTTTTAGCTTGAGCTGCTTGTTTTATTATGCTTCACGCATTGACAACCAGACCCATTATCTATGCCTGATGGTTCACGTGATAATTCTCTGGATATTTATATCCAGTCCAGAGTCCAGAGTCTTAGTGCCA